GGCTCAGTTGACTGTTGTCTGTAACGTGATTATATTCGAAAGAGACGCTGTTCTGCTGTAGTTGTGTGGCTGCCGGTTGTGAATGTCCACTCGGAGGCAGGAGCGGGCTCAGGGCTGGCGGTGGCGTCATGCTATGTTGCATAATGCTTCCGTTGGCGGGCGTTTGATATCCCTGTCCGCCACTCCCGGTTGACATATCCGTGTCAGAAGTTGACAACGTCTTACTATAGCAGATAACGCTCCGAATACGAATGACAGTAAGCAAAATATTGATCATTTCTATGATTGATTATAATTCGCTGGATCATATTTGATTATAATTCTTTCTTCTTCGCGTTCTTAGAAAACCATAAACCTTAAAATACCAGAACAAACACTTAGGACTTTTAGTCCTTCCATGGTATCAACTCCCACGATCGCTCCCCTCAGGACAGAGGTCTTCCTCGGCTTCTTCTCTCAACCGAGGTAAAAACCCGTCTACCTGCGTGTAGGCCGTCATGATGACCTCAAGAATAATTTTTCTTCGCTTCTAACACAAACTTTCTGGACGTAGTTCTTATTGATCCTTTTGCGAACGCTCACTTTTGTGTCCGCTTTGCTCTCTTGATTCTCTTTTGGACACCCTTTTTTTGTATTTTTTTTTTTTTTTTTATTTTTTTTTTAATATATATATAAATGGGGCATGAGCATTAAAACATTGATTGAGTTTTCAATTACCGGGGGGATTTACAATGTTCGAGCCTTTGATGGGGGTTGCAGGTTCATGTAAAAGAACTAATGAGTGTTGAGTAAAACAAAATGTAATTCTTGCAGGGTTGTTTTCAGTAAAGACTACGTCCGACTTTATTTCGGCGAAACTTTCTAGCTCTCCTTCTTGCTTCAATCACTAGACTCATCTCGAACTTCTTATCTGCTTTTTCTTGTTCTCTTGCTTGCTTTCTCTTTTCCCGTCTGTTTAGTTGTTCTCGTGTTTCGTAACGATTTTCTTCCTCGCGTACTAGTAGTGCTACGTCGTCTATATACACAACAAATTCCTCGACGAAGTCTTGCTCGATCTGTATAAACGCTTGGCTCAGGTCTCCAAAAATAAAAGCGTTGTCGTACTGTAGGTTTCGCAGTGCTCCAATCATATTCTCTTCGTAATTCGTCACGTTGATGCTTCGGGATTGGTAGTTATCCTCCAGGAGTGAGGATATACCGGCACGACAGATGTTTAGCACGTTTTCTTCATACTTTTGCTAAACTTTCTAGTTTCCTCGCGTTATTTCTCTCTTTTCTAAAAATTGTATACCTTGTGTTGAAATATACTCGATCGTTTCGTAATCGTGCGCTGTGCTAGCCTTATTCACTTTTCATATCCAGATTGCACAGAGCCGTTTAATTCGGTTGTCTCCTCTAACCTAGACATTCTTCGGACACGTCCCACCTTATAGGCTTAGGAATCCTTGGAATAGAACAAACTTCTCTTCACTCCCTCCAATCTTTTTCCTTAGAGGTTCGCGTTCTCGAACTCTCTGAGAGCCCAGCTTCGGCCCTTCGAGAACAGTTTAAGTGTTCCCTTGAGTTCCTCCTTATATGCCACTGCGATCTTCACTGCAAGTGTTGCTGGCGTCTGTAGATGGCTGTGAAATTGTGCCGATTGGTAAAGTGATAGGTGTATAGTCAACAAGAAGACCATTCGGTTCTGCTCCTTCCTGTTTCTAGCATCGTAGTCGGTTGGAATTCCAAGTTTCCTCTGTGTAGTGACATTGATATGGTGGCACCTTTCTTGCCCGTGGTTATCGGTGTATTGGATCTTCCAGGGCCGTCCTTCGTGTCGCTTGTCCTTGGATCCTCCGTAGTTGACCATATCTTCGATGACGAGGTCGTCAGATAGATACGCATATGCCATCATGATGATCCTCATTACTAGTGGAAACTCTGGCGGTGTTATCTTCCCTAGTAAGTTCTCATTGCACCAGCCGCATACTCCACCAATCAGAGCCGCAACCTGTTTTGAGTTGTAGTTTTGCTGTTTGTAAATATCCTTTACAATGTGTTGCGACTCTCTTCCGATCATCTTTAGAGCACCGGAGCAGGTTGTCCCCTGCATCAAACAGTATTTGTTCTGGTGCGAGTCGAAGATGTGAACTCCCTCAATTATCTGTCTGATTTCACCGCAAATAACATCAATATCGCCGCCAAATCCCCACTTTCCGTAGAATGTCCGTTTCATATGTTCGGAGTATTCGGAGTGTTCGATCAGAGTTCTTGCATCGTCTGATAGCATGGCGGCGGCAACGTAGAAGGTTTCAGCTGTTGTAAGTTGACTCGGGTTATCGACGAATTTCTTTACAATCCGCTGGAATTCAATCCGCTTTAGTTTATCTCCCCACTGTTCGTTAACGGTTTGTGTGCCAGATGCGTAACTCATCGGCCCGGGCTGAAAACTACTGGCTTTCTTACTTGGTGCCGGCGGCGCTAAAATACCACTGACTTCTCTCATGTTGGTACTATGAGACGAAGATGCGCCAGTATTCGTATGGTGTTTTTCCTTCACGGTACCGGTGGGATAGACATAAACATCGTTAATGTCTTCGAACTCGTCAATAAAGGGAATCGCTCTAAAATCCAGGTCGGAAGTATTCTCCGTCCTGCCCTCTGGACCTTTAATTGTCGCTGACACGGATTTTACCGTCCCGGTTAACTCAACCGTTATCTTGTCGGTTTGTTCCAACCTTTTCTCCCTGTTGCATTGTGGCGATTTTTCATGTGGGACGAGTTTGTTTGTTTTTGCCTTCTCTTCAACGGTAGCCGCTGGCGTAAGTACGACGGCCGTTTTTCCTTTAGCGTTTTTGTTTTTTGTCAGCGTGACTCTACCTTCAGTTGCTTCCTCTTTCTGTGTGCTATTCAGCCTCTTTAGTTTTGGAGGTGGCACCTTTGGTGTCTGTTCGTGGTGTCTCTTCCTTGTGTCTCTACTTGGTGAAGACTTGTTGGCATTAGTAGAAAAAGCGACTTGTACTTGGTTGGGTTTGGTAGACGTGGCAGTGGCTCCTTCCTTAGCTGTACGTGCCATTTCGTTCTGCTTTTGATCTACTATCTCCCTTTCTGTCATCCTCACGCGTTTAGCCACCTCCTTCTTTCGTGCGAATATTTCTTCCTTTTTAAGTCTAAGCTTCTCTGCTTCAGCATCTCCTTCTGTCTTCGCGTCCTGTTTCTTCTCAGTGTCGTCGCGTTCTCTTTTGTGCTCATCTTCCTTATCACGCTTGACTTCGGAGGATTCGGATAAATCACTTCCGATTGCTCCTTCCTCTTCATCAACAACCTTATCGTTGTCTTCTCCTTCCCTTTTTTCTTCTTCGTTTTCTTCTTCAGTGGTCGGCGCGAGAGCAGCTTCCTCCTGAACAAAAACATCTCCACTGCCATCTCCGAAGTCTTGTACTGATTCTTGCGATATTTTTCTCTTCGGTTTCTCGAATCTGTCGTCAATTACGCTCCCAAGGTTCTGATCCACCTGAGCAGTTTCTTGTTTACTCTTGTGGACTTCCGGGCTGCCTTCCCTGTTCTCCTCTTCTTCCTCTGCTCTACGTTCTCCGTCACTCTTCTTATCGTCGTTTTCTTGACGTTCGGCTTCATCAGGGTTCTCGGCCCCTTGAGCTCGTTTGTGATTCGAGTGTTCTTCATTCCGTGTGCCAGACAGAGCCGCCTGACCGGATTGACATCTTGAATCTTGGTTTTCCTCTTCGGAGTCTGATTGTTCACTTGAACTTGAGCTAGAGCTCGATTGGGAGGCTGGTCTTTGTTTTTTGCGCGTCTTATTTTCTTTTGACCTTGAACGGGAACGCGATCGCGATCTGGGGTTGTTTTCCTCCTTACTCGCGTTCTTTTTGCTGTTGGTTCTCGCTGACGTGGAAGTTTTAAATCTTCCGCTCTCTTTCCTCAGTGCGGCAATGCACTTTCTCTCCTCCTCGCGAATTTCAACAATCCGTTTCTCATGTCTCTCGACCTTCTGTTGCAGCATCTGCTGCTTCCTTTTATGGAAGTCGATTCGGTCTGCGAAGGTCGAGCCGGAATCGGATTCCGAGGAGGACGAGCTCGATTCTGAGGAGGACGACATATTTTTAATCTGTTCGTCCAGGTAAAACTGGGCACTTTTTAAAAGGGTTTTCCTGGGTTAAACCCTTATTGTTTTGTAGGAGGGGAAACACAAATTGAAAAGGGAAAATGAAAAAATTTTTTTAAGTTAGGACTATATCCAAGGTGTTATGAGCTCGCTTCTTGAGAAAAAACACGGAAGGTTAGACCTTCAAACGACACTATTCTTACAAAAGTGGAAGTCTCAACCTGTTATATTTGGGCTATATACTCAAATCGGGGGATCTTGCTTCTCTAGAAGTGTTATACACTTTTATCTTCTAAAAAGCAACCACTCTACCACGCTACCAATGTTGAAAGTGGAAACGTTGAGATCTCTCAAGGGGAAAAACGATCGTAAACGTTGTGTCGTTGTTCGTGAACACCTTAATCTTCTGAGCGTCAGCGAGGAAGATTTTTCAACAACAAAATAAAATTTTATTTTTCCATTCCTGTAAACTGTTTCATTTGATGAAATGGTTATGATTTGATTCATGTTAGAGATCGATAATGTGATCGATCTCTTTCCTTCTCAACGAGTAGACAATTAGATTAGATCGATCGATTAATTACTTCTCTCGTCGAGTTTTCGTCTCAATGAACTCATTTAGTTAGACAGCAGGTTTCAACTCCTGCTGTCTTGACTCCCGTGACCGAAAGGAACTCTCGTAGATTTCAGGATCTCACTTTTCCCCTTCAGTAGAAATCAAAGATCAAGTGCAGGATTTCTTAACTGCTGCTCACGTTACCAAGCTTCTCTGCTGAGATCGCATCTGCGAGAGAAATTAGTGTGCTATCCTGGACGAGCGAGCCGTCGTCAAGAGCACTCGATAGGAAGCTGTCCTCCAAAACAAGGGTATCGCTTGTCGTAACATCAGCGAGGTCTTCCGAACGATAGCTCTTAGCATACCCAGTCGCTGGCTGTGGCAGCAATGCGCCGATGCTGTGCAAGGCACGCAGGTGACCCTTTGTGCGCGTTACTCCCTGTCGCTCGAAAACAGAACTACCGCTTGTCGAAGAGAGTGAACCTCCGGAAGTCAACGAAGCAACCCCCGTTGGTGCGTCTTCGTAATCAGCGACCACGAAAACGCTAAGGGGTACGTTCTGGACCATAGAAAAGTTTCCTTGCACTGACAGCCGCACCACGTCATAAAAATGAAAGGCAGACTGCGACGCGTCATGCAGATTGTCTGGTGCTGCGGCGGCACGTCCCGGTAGATTGGGCGCCTGTTCGGCAGAGGCGGGCGTCGATGATAGATATCCTGGAAAATAACGGAAGAAGTTTGTCGAGAACAGCAGAGAATCCAGCAGTGAGTCGTGTGTGCGCATGTTCATCGACAAATGCAACTGCGAGTCCGTGTCCAAGCGTAAACACGCCGCCTCTGACTGAAACAGACCCTTCAGCGTGACCCAAAAGCAAACTTCGTTGAGAACCATGGAGGACGGCGCTCCTGACGTCGGCCCGAACGCAGCGCCCGGCTTTGTCAGATTTGTGACCGCCTGTCCGATATTCAGGATTTTGCACAGTTTTGTGCTGTCATACTCCACCAGCGGCATTTTTCCTGACACTGAAGTGTCGAAGAACGAGCTCGGCAGCACAGCTTCGAACATGTTGGCAGCCGCGACAGAACTCCCGCTCACCCTACGCCAATCCTGAGTGTCCACGCCCGCGACCGCTCCCTTCGGAGCCCAGTGGATCTGCGGCTTTGGCACAACCAGCCCTAGGGCTGAAGCCGCCGTTCCTGCCGTCAGCTCCTCCAAATCCGGAATACCCAAAAGCACATTTTGCGGAATACCATACAAGGAGACCGCAGGCTTTGGTGCGTGTTGTGCGAAAACCAGAACGGATTCCTCGTGCGGCTCCGAAAAAAGGTATTGCGTGTGATCCTGAGATGGCCCAGTCTGTTGACTACTGACGCTTGATACAGAAGATCCCGTCGTCAAATATCGAGAAATCGTCCGCGTAATCCGTGAAAATGTTGACTCTTCTGACGGTGCTGCTTCCTCCTCGTCATCGCCTGTTAGCTCATCTGCTTCTATCAAATCTCCTCGAGCCTTTCTATTGTCCATACTCGGTGATTTGGATTTACTCTTTATCTCGCTATCTGCGACTTCACCAGGACGAGTGGTTGCGTATATACGCTCATCCGCGGTCAAAATCCGTGTTCGACTTCGACGACGCAAGGTGCTTTCGTCATCATCGTCGCCCATGCTCGTTCGCAATGGCCATTGCATCCCCTGTAGCCGCCGCCCACGTCGCGCAACCGTGTACTCATCCACGGCCCACTGCTGCGTGCCCTTGGTGCTGGTGAACACCGTGAGGTTGAAATTCATTGACTCTCGCCAGTGCAGTCGAAAAAGGGGAACGTCGACTTCGCTGACACCATCGTGGTCCCTCCAACCGCTGCTTTCGTAAAATACCGCTGTCGTAGACTGCTGCACTTCATCAAGCCCCACACCTGCCGCTCCACCTTTCGCAAACGTACCCAAACGGAAAAAAGTACCAACGTCACTGGCCGGTGTAGAAGTAGATGGTCCTGTCTCGACAACTTCTCCCGGGGCAGCATCATTAGGAGTATTCGATGAGAGTACCACCGGCTCTTCGCACAAGCGTGCTTTGTCTCCCGCCGCGGCCTCATTCTGGATAAAGTTGTAGACAGAAAAGTAGACAACCACCACGCAGTATTTGCGGGCGAAGCTCTCCCCGCTGACGGCCGGACTCGCGAGCGCAAACTGGTAATTGCTCAATACCCCAGTCACTTCTTGGAAGGCTCGCTGCTCGCGAACACGATCCCCGCCAGCGCTTGAAGCACTCGGAAGCCGCACAAAGCTGGTTGGGTACTGACTCCACGTGTGCGCGCTCACGGTCGAGGCCTGCTGAAACAATGCCTGCCGGGGCAATCTCAGGAATCGTGGTTCGCTTACCAAAAGTTGGCTCGTTGCGTCGTAGCCGACAAAGACTAAAATGTCCTCGGCCTCCAGTGCAATGCTGTCCCCCAGTTGGTATTCGCAAAAGCGCTTCGAAACGCGCAGCTCATCAACGCCGGCAGAGCTCGACAAGTCGTAACCGCACGAGGAGACAACAGCGGAACGATCGGTACTCTGAAACGCGTTGTTAGACACCAAATCGAAGTTGCGATCGAATCCAAGACTGCTGCTGCTGCTCCCATCCTGCAACTGCAGAAAAAAGCCGGCGTCGGTCCACAAAAAGCCCAACTGTGCCTGCAAAAAAGTGGTGTCAACAACACTTCCTGCTCCTGGGTTGTCCCCGACACCACCTGAGGCGACGAAGAAGAACATAACACCGCCTCCACCTAAGAGAAAGGATCCTGCCGCGTCTGGCGCCGCCACTTGCATCGCTGAAGAATCGAGCGACGCAAAATAGGGTTGCTTCTGGAGTAGATCGACTGCTGCTGGTGTAGCCGTGCGAGACCACAACGCAGACCAAACGTCACTGGCTCCGACATTGTACTGCGGAGAAAACTTTAGTGCAAACACATCTTTTGGAACGCGGTGACGGAAAATGTCCAGTCGCAAGGGCGCCCGCTCGTTACCCACCGCGACAAACCCACTTTTCTTCAGACGCCAGTAGACTCGAACCGAGAAGTTGTCCTCGCCGCCGTGCTCGTCTCCGAACAGAGCTAAAGTGAGCGTGAAGTCGATCTTTTTGCCCAACTTGCTGCTCGAGATCTGCAGCTTTGGCGTCTCGAGTACGCTCGTCGCAGCGACTGTGCTTGGCAGTTCCAACGGCTGCCAGCTGAGCTCTGAGGTAGCGAAGCGGTAATTAGGGCCATTCGGCACTAAGGTGTGCGTGCTCACTGTCTCGATAAAATATTCGACAACATCATCTGCGCCCAATGTGAAATCACCTGGAACGTCGAGGGAGAATGCGGCAACAACCTGCGATAACCCGCAACGAAAGAAGTACTTTTCGTGCGCCGCTGGACTAGTCCAGTCTGAGTCGTCCTCTTGCGCGGCTCCAGGACTCGGCGTGACGAAGAAGACCCGCGAAAGTTGCGTTTTTGTATTTGCGGACCAACTAAATGCCAGGTGAAAGTCCGGCTTTTGATCAATTTGAACCTGGAACAGTATCTCCGAAGAAGGGTCGTACATTTCCTGCATCGTGGTGTCCTTGCCAACCACTTGTACGTGCAGGGCTTGGCTGCTCTGCGTCAACGTGAAAGGCCCTGAATAGACTATTCTGTTATCCGGGTCGCTTCCGAGCCAGTAGTGCAGGACCCCTCGATCATGGTGCCCGTCGTCCGCCGTCAGTGTCACGTCGGTGCTCATCATCGTCACAATTGTGCTTAGCGCGAAGCGATGGGTCGCTACGTCACCAGGCTGCTTCACGACCCCGTCAAAATACAGGGTAGGCTGCACGAGCAGGCCCTTGCCCGTGAAGACCTTTGTGTCCACGCGGTTTTCGTACAGGGGATGGCAGAGCGAATATTTGAGCACGAAGTCGATGGGCAGCCGCTCCTTGATCTGGATCGCTGCGTTTCCGGCGGTGTTAGGTGTGCCCGGCGCAGAAGGGTCGAAAAGGTATTGCAAACCCGCACTCGCTGCGCAGTCGGGTTCCGAGAGGCCATTGATGGTGTAAAGCACTTTGAGGAGCCAGGGTGACTCAACGCTGTTTAACCACAGGGCAGGGATCGTAAACGAAACCTCGGTGTCCACTGGCTGATACCTACTGGCCGGAAGTACCGTGGGTGGACCTAAGTGCGCCGTCTTGCGCACGCACTTGCCCATGAGATTCGTTGCATCTGTCGACTTGCATTTGCACGCGGTTAGATTCGCTCGCGGCGATACGGAGCCGAGCGATTCCCCCACGTTGAAGCCGGAATTTGGGCATTTCGTGCAAGACAGCACCCCGCCTGCTCCTGTATAGCTCGCCGTGCGACTGTGGTGTAGGTAGCGCAACTTCATCGTTGCGGGGATCAGACTCTGCGCAAAGACGTAGTTCTCGTACGCAGGTACGCTCGCCCACTCGTCTCCGCTCACGCTGTTGATCTCGAGCCGCACGAGCTTTGTCGCTGTGCCATCGACGCGGATCACAATCAGAGGAACCTCCATTACTTGAACCTGGCCTCCTGCGTCTTTTAGTTCGATCGTTTCGTCCAATGTGATCGGCCCGTTGGAGGTGTACAAGACGGTGTCCACGTTAGTCCCGTAAACCGTGACATTCGAGAGCGTCCCGGAACCCACGAATTTGATCCGTGCCGTCCGCCACACCTCAAAATAGCCCGGTGGGCAGTCGCACTGCGACGTCTCTGGCGAGCGCAAGTACGGCAGGCCGCCTGGTAGCGAACCACATTCGCGCACGCAGGTATTGGGGTACGCGCCCAGCTCTTCGAACCCCGAGGCACAGCGCGACGCCCCCGCACTTTGATCCAGCGTGGAACTGTCAAAGTACTGCTTCTGCGGCGGATTGCATAGTCCACTCTGTGCGGCAACCGTCTCGTCGAACAGGGCAGTGAGGAGGCCTGTTCGTTGTGGCACACTAATGATCCCGCCACTATTCCCGTTGAGCGAGTCGAAAGGGGAACTGACCGCACACGGAAACTGCCGGCTCTGTTGGAATTCCGACAGCCCGAAGCTCGCCCGCGGCAGCTCGTAGCCAGGAAACATTCTGATTTCGTCCAGTTGCAGCTTGAACCCGGCGCTTTGCATCGCGCTGAGCTGCGCCAGCGGCCAGTAAGGCAGAGCGAAATTCGGGTCTTCAGCGTAGGCAGTGGGATCCAGCAACGATACGACACCAGGAAACGCGGCGTCTGCCTCCAGCAACTCGTGGTTCGGCGGGCCAACGTGGTAGACGTCCCGGTACTGGCCTATTAGCTCCAGCCACGACTGCTGCGCAGCTATCACAGCACCAGTTGTCGCGTCGCGGTGGAAATCGACCGACGCCAGACGCGAATTCGCCGTGCCCGTGGCCTGCGCAAAATTCGCTGCCGCACGCCGTGGAAACGGGCTATGACAGCACACAAACGCCTTGTTCACGTAGAAGGCCATTTTTACCGTGCTCGAGGACGGCCCTGAACGCGCAACGAGAGTCAGCAGCTGCCAGCCGCTCGCGTCGAGGTTGCCCCCGCTGTCTGGTTCCAGAGAAAAAGCAGCAGAACAGAAAAAGGACATCTTACGTTGATCCGAATCTGCGAGACTCAATTCACGGTGGTAAAAAGCTAGCTTGTATCGCGCAGCCGCGCCCGTGGTACTTCCAACTCTCAGCAGTCCCACGTACCAGTTCGGAAACTGCCCCACAAGTGGGACTATTCGCAAGTCTCCGTCGCTCGCGATGTCTCCGCAGTTCGTGCTCTCGTCTGCAGTCGACGCAGGGAAAGCGCTAGCGCCCCCCGCCAGCTGAAAGTACAACTCTAAGGAGAAAGGCAAATTTTCTAGATGGAACTGCGTATTGCTTGTTGCGACCACAGGAGTGACCGAGTCAGCGCGCATTTCGTGTGCTTTATCGGCAGCCATCTGCGACGGTGCTTTTAGGTCCTTTCGAACGGGTTGAGGCGTGTGCCGCTTGAGGTTACCACAATTACGATGCATGTGATCTTGTGCCTTTTTCGCATGGGTAAGTGTGTCATACCGCCAACGCATGTAACGCTCGTGATCTAGGCACTCCCTGTTCCACGTGGCATCCCCGGCCTCCCCCGGACCGATATCGAGGTCCATCTAGAAGAAAGAGTTTTGGGTGAATTTTGAACTTGAAGGACATAAGATCTTCGGCAAGCGTTTAGCGGTGACACTGACAATCTAAGCTAGTACCGGTGTTATCAAAATCTTCCGAAAACCATCTCAGGGCGAAAGCCCCCTGCTTGGACCGACGAGTTAAAGATACTAGAAGAGCATCGCTGTCCTCTCCAACTACCACGACTGGATCCTAATCAAGAATATGTACATTGACGACGCTCCACGCTCCAGTGCACGTATTCTCAGTACAGAGAGGCGTGATGGCGTTGTTTTGTCCGGGTGGTAAAGTGAAATAGTCGTAGGGAATTCGCGGAGGGGTCGTTCCCGCAACCCCAAAGTACATCATCTCGCAGCTATAGCAGGAACACGCCTCGCAAATGGCTTTCTCAAAGTTTGTCCCACTGCAATCCAGTTGACCACGCGGAGCTTGGCTATATGTGTTCCTCCGCTGATACGTCCTCCACTCCCCTCCACGCTAATTAGAGTCCGTTGTTCTTCTTGTCCAACGATTAAGAAAGTAAAAAAGGACCTACTCGAATCGCTGACGCTGCCTAGACATAGTCCGCAAGGTAATAAACTAACACAGCAGCTCCCCACAGCAGGTAGTCCAAGTCCGACTAAGAGAAGAAGGAATCAATGCACTAAATCATGTGCTCAAACCAATCTTCAAAAGCTAAAATTAGAATACATCAATCTGGAATGTACTTGTAGTACAGCAGAACTGTTTCAATGTCATAAATT